CCTCCTGGCCTTGTGGAGCCAGGTCTCCTCTGTCACCAAAGTGCTGATTGGACTCTCTGTGAGCCCGAAGAGGTTCCTTCAGTTCACTCTACCCTGCAGCTGAGACTCCGAACAGCCGTGGCAGACCCCAAGTAACGCAAAGTTTACTAGTCAGCAAGGGTTGCAAGACTCAGGTCGTGACGAGGGCCTTTATTCTGGCGGCTCGGGGAACAAGATTTGAAGGTGGAGAGATCCAAACAGTTGAAGGATTTCGGGGCTCAAGTTGGGGAGCAGAGGGACTATGTCCGAGGTTGTGTCAGGGGTCTGGGATCAGCTTTCAGCGTGGAGGCATCAGATTTTCATGCATCAATTGCCGAAAATGGGACTACCTTGTTCGTACGCTGGAACTGCCCCGCATGGTATCAACAAGATTCGATGGAACCTAAACAGTCTTTTGCCGAAAACATGGCAGCAGGTCATCCAGGCAGAAAGAGGGAACGCTACTGGTTGCAGTCGCAATTCGCAGCATTGCATCCCTCAAACACCGACAGCATCGCTGGACCAGGCTCAAGCAAGCAGTCTTGCAGCAGTAGCATGTGCAGGTTTATGGATTTGCCTCATTGTGCTCGCGTCATAGTACTGTAGTTTGAAATGTTTTGTGCACATATGCATGTATGCCGGCATGCACGTCGGTATGAAAGGAAACAGACGCAACGGCAGAAATAAACTTAGAAAGACAAAGCCAAGCAAACAAAAAAAAGAACGAAAATAAGCACAAACAAAGCAATGAAAATACATAGAAAAGGAATGAACACCTAAACAAAAAAGAAACAACGAACAAACTACAGAGACAAAGAACAACAAAGAACGAACGACAACATTAATGAATATGACTGAACATATGTGTGCCTGCATATCCTTAAGTGCCTACATATACATATATACACACATAGGTATATCACTGGGTGTGTGTGATATACATTCATTCTATATGTATGTGATAGATAGATAGATAGATAGATATATATATATGTGTATATCTATATATACAGTGTGTGTAGATAGATAGATAGATAGATAGATAGATAGACAGATAGATAGATAGATAGACAGACAGGCAGACAGACAGACAGACAGATAGATAGATAGATAGTGTGTGTGTGTGTGTCGCTGTGAGGGCCTGCTTTTCTCGAGTAAGCATGATTTTTTTCACTGATTTCTTGTGTTTCGTTAGAGTTGTTGACATGTCGTGCTTCGAGCTGTGTTGAAATTACTGCTGTAAATGGTCACTTACTGTACTCACAGCAAGTGAGTAATCCGATCAATAAGCCCTGACCGAGCCGCAGCATTGCCTGCAGCTCCGCCTCCTCAATCACGTTGCCGGCCTGAATATGACTGATTGTAAGTACTGCAGCAGTTTCATATGTGAAGACACTTACAGTAGAGAGCTTGCGGCTTGGGTGTCAAGAGACGTCTGACTGAAGCGATGACAAAAATTCTTCGCCCCTCATGCCAAGAGGCATTACTTACACGGAGGTTTCGAAACAGGGCTACCATTGCATGTACAACCTTCTCATCGCAGGCTTCTTTGTTCTCCGGCTGCCTGGCCAGTGGGATTTACTTGGAAGACACAAGCCTCAGCCACAGCATAAGCATAAGCCTTTCCCTAGACAAACAGATGAAGACCAATGGTCGGGACGACAGACTAGAAGCAAGAGGAAGGGAAAGTGTCAGGAAAAGGTTCACAGGAAAAGGACAGTATTTTTCGAATTCAAGCCTCTGCAGCCAAAACCATTGGCCCATAAAGAACTCACCCTGAAGCCGATTAGCCCTCCATACTGCGTCTAAGCGCACCGCTCAAAAGCCGCGTCTTCGGATACTTTTTCACAAGCTCTGAACTCTCCCGAATCGTGCGACACCCTAAACCCGAGGTCCCGAAACACAGAGTTGTATACCACGATATGTTTATGCTTGAGTGGAACAGAAACGGCGTGTAAGACAAATGGCTGATGCCACTACCTCTGCCCGAATCACTCTCTCCAAAACGCCTCGCAGGAAGGCCGCACGCGAACCTGATCACATTTTACGGGGATTGCATGCCTCCAAGCCTATGCTGCCGAATGCCAAGAATCCCCCAATCCACATCATGAAGCTTCCGAGAGATCGCATATTGCGGCTCTGCTGGGCCTAAGTAGCACATGCCGCATGCGACGCTACATGTGGCGTTCCTGGGCTTTGTGTGCGTCCGGAAGTCTATATTTCCTTGCCGCAGAGGCATGCAAAATGGCTTCGGGATTGCATGGATTTTTTTATTGCTCGACAACTTTATAGGGTTTATGACTTTCCGGCACTGCACCTGGAAAGACATGGAGGACACGCAGAACTTGCAACCCATTTCGAGATGACGCGAGCGCAAAAAAAGAACAGCCAAATGAAGCATGCGATCAGAATGTACAAAGCTACCGAATATTCAATGTCGTGCTCTCCTGGTCCATGTAACGCTAACAAAAGTGGAAACTTGCTTCCAGGCCTGGAAGTATGGGCCCTGTGCGTAGGCCACAAGTCGGCAGCGGAGTTTACCCTGCACACAGAGAGGGTGTCAGCCGGCGGAGGCCTACCCTGATGTCTTTAGTCTGTCGAAAGAACCCACAGATAGTCCAGCGCCTCAAGAGACGGAACCTAATGTAGCTAACAGAACCCCCTCTGTACACCACAAGACTCAAGTCACCGAGCCTGAATCCCAATCTGAACAGAGACTTTCTTCATGTCACAAACCCTTAGCTCAACATCAAAGTACTGACGCTTTCTCTGCTCAAAAACCAGGGCCTGGTGGACCCAAAGAGACTCCAGCGGGTACATCGCGTTGCTGGCCTCGGGGTCTGTGAAACAACATCATCGACAAGTGCATCTAGTGTCATCTCTCGTTCTTCTCTATGGATGTGTGTTGGCGTGTGTGTTTGCGTGTGTGTGCCTCGCTGGCTCGCTGGCTGGCTGGCTGGGTCTCCGTCTGCCTACCTAGCTGCCTGCCTCCCTGCCTGCCTGCTGGTCTGCATGCTTGTCTGTCTGTCTGTCTTGCTCTGCACTGCAGGGCCTCTGCTGCTTGACTTTAACCCGCTTTCGGGCTCTGCTCGTCAAAACACCTGCCAAAGGTCGACGAGACAATGTTGGATGCCAAGGTAGATATGCAATGCTGAAATCCAAACTCTCGGAGTTCCATATGTGTTCTCTGACGTCTCGCAAAGCTGACATGGCCGCTGGCACCATCAGAATCTCTCCGACCTTCACTATTAATGTCAGCCTTCTGTTATATCGTTAATGCATGTAGGAGTGGTTGCACGGCTGATGATGATGACATTGGTGACGGCAGTGGTGGGGATGCCGGTGCGGGTGGTGGTGGTGGTCGTGGTAGTTGTCGTGGCAGTGGTGGTGGTGGTGGCGATGGGGTGGTGGCGGTCGGAGGTGAGTGGTGATGGGGATGGTGGTGGGGTTGGTGGTGGTGGTGGCGGCGGTGGTGGTGGTGGTGGCGGTGGTGGCGGTGGCGGTGGCGGTGGGGGTGGCGGGGGTGGCGGGGGTGGCGGTGGCGGTGGCGGGTGGCGGTGGCGGTGGCGGTGGCGGTGGCGGCGGCGGTGGCGGCGGTGGTGGCGGTGGTGGTGGTGGTGGTGGTGGCGGTGGTGGTGGTGGTGGCCGCCGCCACCGCCACCACCACCACCACCACCATCATCGCAGCCATCATCAGAATCGTCATGCTCGTCCCCATCACCAGCACTCGTGTCGTAGGGCCTTCAGGAGACTACTTCAGGCTTAACTGCGGCAACCATCCAGGGGCTAACATCGCTCCCTTACGACACTGCTGCCGACTCAGGGCTTCTAGCGCCAACTGGCGTCTTCGGGCACACCTAGCTGCAAGACAGAAGAATACAGAATACTATCACGACATCGGTGCAACGAGGTGTGGCTTGAGTAAGGGTCGTGCTTTGCAGGATACCCCGACACGGATGGCACAGCTGCCGTCTCTGTCCACCCCAGTGCCAAAACCTCTACAATCCAAGCCACAAAACCAGAGCTTCCAACCTTGACCTTTGGATCCTGCATCTCAAGAACTCGAAGAAAAGGTGGGCCCTGGGACCGCGGCCATGATTTCCGAATGGCTCAAATTCCACGTGATAGCAGCAGCCTTGTACGCCTCAGCACAATTCTCCGAATGCCAGTCTTCACGGGCCAGCTGCATGTTCGTCCCCATTTCAGGCGAAATGCAACGATTCAGAAGAGTTCCCAGAATGCTTTCTGGCGAAGGCGAAACCTCAGAAAAGTGTTCACTTCCGACCCTGAATCCTGAATCTTGAACCGTTCGCACCAAGCTTGCAGTCGGGTGCTTCTCCCAAATTTCGGTGCTCAAACCGACCCGTTCCAACCAAAACCAGTTCCGCTTCGCATTTCCCAATACACTCCACAGTCGTTCGAGTGTTAATGCCAAGTGGCTACTTGTAGCTGACCACAGGTGCAGGGCTCAACTACAGATATGTAGTTTGCATTCGCTTGGGAATCCTGGAGCCCCATTGAACTTGCAAGAGCACAGGTTTCCCTGGGATGCACGGAGCTCATCTCAGAGCCCCGAGAAGTCCCAGCCTCAATGCACTCAGGAGGCTTCCTTGCAACCGAGCTTCCGCTGGGGTAAAGAAGGACTCCAGCGTCTCACCATGCCTGTTTGTTGAGGTTGATTTTATGGTCAAGGGCTTCCTGTGGGGTTTAGTGCTCGAAGCCTCTAGGTGTGGATATGAGAAGTGCCCGGGGTTGTGAGGCCAACCTTGATTGTGTAGCTCAATGCTTCCAGTAGGCTCAAAAGCAGGAGAGAACAAGTACAACACCAAGGGGACCGCAGGCGGGTCGCGTGGCAGCTGATGCATCAGTGCGATGTTGTCGAGGTCTAAACCCGTTCGTGGGCATGGCAGTGGTTTCTAAGTCGGATGCGGACATGTGTCAACCTGGACAACCTCACATTATTAGTAGGCGAGCGTCTTTTCTCACGAAATGACCTCTCTGACGGAAACACTTGTATAGGAGGGAGATGCCACCAAGTACAAGACCTGGCAATGAGGGGAAGCCCTATGATCTGCATGAAAAAAGAGAACCCTGTAGCAACAGGGTTCTCTCGTGGCCCTATGAGTAGATATGAACAAACAGGAACAGCCCGAACAGGAAGTTTTTGTAAACAGACGATCGCTGGCACACAAGACCCTGCTTGCTTGTATCAAGAGGTCAGGGGTGTTGTGTTGCGCAATTACAAACCACCGTCCCGGAGTCATAAATCCAAACTCCAAGGCTTGCATGGTTGCAAAATCCACCCAAGGGTGCTCGGTCCTGGGTGGTCGAAGAGACGTTGGGTACGGCCAGTAGACAAAGCTGCGGCGGCTCGCAGCTACTGCCTGGTGTAAACTGTAAATCGAGTTCAGGAACTTGGAGTTCGAGGAGCAGCACTGCCGCTCTGAGCTATCGTGTTAGCGTTTACGGCATTGGACAGACGGTGGTGAACCTGCCTCCTGCATTGCACCGATTTTCTCAGGCCAGAAAGATCCGTGAAAGAATGCTTAGACTTTAGCCACTAGTCCTTCAATTTTTGTTCAGAAGCAGGCCAACAAAAACAAAAGGAAAGGTCTCGGTGTAGGTAGATGCATCAAGGGGCTGAAACCTTATTCAATCCAGCACCTCAATCCCCAAGTCACTATAAGCCCCAAACTCTAGATCCAAAGCCCTGAGCATGCCAAGGGCACCGGAGTAGCTGTGCGAAGCGGGAGCAGCTTCAAGCCATAGCGAGCTGCAGCCGCTTTCATAAGCAAAGCGACTCCTCAGGGTGCTCGGGGGGTTGGGGCATCGGAACTTCAAGTCTGAGATACTGGATCTCCTCGAGATTTCCGGCACAAATTTAAGGTTCTATGACCGCCGAACAACAGGACATTCCCCATAATATTGAAAGGGGGCCAAATAAAAACTCGGAAAGCATTATTTTTTTATTATTAGGGTGTATTTTTATCCCTCCTACCACTTTTGAGGGATCGTGCTCTTGCTACTGCTCTGACTCTTGCTCCCGCGCTGTCTTTTGCTCCTGCTTCTACTGCGTCTCTTGCACCTGCGCCTGCTGCTTTTTGCTGTGCTGCCGCTTTTGCTCCTGCTCTTGCTCTTACTCCTGCTCTTGCTCTTGCCTTGTTCTTGTTTTGCTATTGCTGCTGCTCCCGCTTTCGCTTTTGCTCTTGCTCCTGCTACTGCTGTAACTCTTGCTCTTGCTTTTGCTCTTACTGTGCTCTAACGGTGTATATATTTGGATCCTCGAAACCTTCCACCCTAACGCAGAACAGGTTTTAAAGGGCAGGGATGATGTCGGGAAGATTCGCTCCAATCTGTTTTAAGCGGTTATGTGTTCTTGCCGAGTTCTCTGACAGGATTTGCCGGCTGCAACTCCATGAAACAGATGCTGCAGCATGGCTTTCTCACAGGCCAGCGGGCCTTGTGGCACTGCTGTGATAAGATACCTCTCTGATCGTACTTCCGGAACCATTTGTTGTTTTAGTGGCAGTTTGGCGACAATGTCAAGTTGTAGCATACCGGAGCATCAAGAATACCGAGACCTCCAGCACACGCCTCTCAGGCCCTTGGAACCGAACCACAAACATGCAAAGACCGCATTTGAATCGAGCGGCTCGCCAAGAATTCTGTCTTTGGCGATCTCCCCAGCAGTCAGCTATGCTAGAGCCCAAACTAAACCTGCTCTGATGGCACACAGACGCTTCGTGGTGCTGGCAGCTTGGGTGCAAGATTTCGGCATTTTGGGTTCACGAAGCAGGTATAATGAGATTGCTGTTAGTGTTCCCTGCGACACCTATGTTGTCCTGATACGCCGGCAAGCCCGTCTCATTAGACTGCTTGGGACCTGTCACACTCGAAACTAGTCATCATGTTGCTTTCATGAGCTAGAGCTGGACCGTTCTCGACGCTTGCCGATGGGAATTGCCGACGCCCTTCGCACTGATTTAGAGGCTCCCAAGAAGCAAAATACACCGTTCAAGTCCATGTGTGTCAAGTTCCTGGCGCAGTCACGACACCTCTTTAGGGACTGCGCTGGTGACAGCGGCAATCTACCTCAAGGCACCAGTCAGAGTGGGGTCTCAGGCACTTGGCAAAGCGAGCTCCTGCAATCTTCTCACCATCATGTTCTGAAGGCCAGAGCACCGGTGGCTCAGCCCGTTTGTCATGTCGATCACCCCCTCAACCTCGCCGCCTTTAGCGGCCGTAGCGCGGAGACTGCGAAGGCAATCAAAAGCTGATTTCAAGACCTACTTTCGGCCTTGGACTTGAGATCAATTGGCATCACGCAGTTGCTGCGTGGGACACGGGCATAAACCCTCCCTCTGCCCGACGTAGGCGGGGCGGAGGAACCACTACAGGAGGCAGCCCGATGATCAAGGGGCGCGATTGAGAAATGTGAAGGGTCTCCTTCGGCACCCTTCATGCCTAAGCCTCGAGACCGAATCAAAGAACAGGGTAGCTTGCTTACAACTGAAACCATTTATGATGAAGCGCAGACACAGTTGTGTAGCATTGTCTCTCTGCTGCTCTGCCTACTGACAGGTAATCAAAGCAGCAGGAAACACCTTCGCTGTCACGGAAGCCCATGGAACCCGAGTGCACCATGGTGTCACTGGGTACTTGCCCCTGAGAGCCCTGAACAAGGCTGCGGTTGACCTATACGCCGGTTCTCAACGTAGGGCTTGCGTTTTGTATAAAGTGAAAACTAGACAACAGCACATGCCGCGGAAACTGTACAATCTTCACGCCTGTGAAGCAGTCTCGGATACCAGTTCAAGCCGAGCGTCCTGTGTCTTGTCCTTCCGCTGGGTGTGCTGCGCACAAACAGGTCCCACTTCCGTAAGAAACTGACGTGAAACCCTCTGCAGAACAGAAACAAGGCAGGAGGCTGTCAGCCTTGAGACTTGCTGTCCGAGAGCACACAGTAGATGGCCGCCTCTTCTTTAGCATCTTCTGGGTAAGGATGCGATGTAAGGGCTAAGATGCCCGGTAAGGGTATTCGGGAGTATGGGCGGTCGAAGGGCCATCTGACCTGCTACACTAGCGAAAACTCAATTCTTAATTCTGCGTTGGAACTGAAAAGTAACGTGGTCAAACTTCGTCTGCCACCGTTCCCCTCTTGGCTGCTTGCTTGTCCTTGTCGCCAGCTTGCCCGTGGCCGCGATCTTTGGCCCATTGGCAGTAAGCTATGGTACAACAGCAGCAGACCAAGGCGCCTCCAACACTTGTGTAGATGGCCGTCGTCCATGGGAAACTCTCGGGTGCTTCCACATCCTGGCCAGCTCGCACCATCCCATGCCCCACAGACAGCTAGCTGCCAAAGCTAGGTTCGTTCCCAATTTGACTTCTTGTACTCTGACAGAAATCGCCTCCCGGACTTCAAATCTAAACCCGCCAACTGTGCCATGCATGTAAACTCTGTGCCGACATCTCAACACTTGGACGCCGCTGGATTCTTCTGAGCGGCCTGCAGGCCATAAAGCGGCACTGCGACCTGGATCTCGGAGACTACTCCAGCCATCGCATCCTCGACCCTCCAAGTGTCCTGCTTCCCGAAAACAGCGAGTTTTTTGAACAGAGACCTGTCTGACCGCTTTGCCCTACGCTACACCAAGACGCCGAGAACAACCACAGCACCCGCAAACAGTACAGTTTAAAAAACAGCCCAAGCGTGTAGACCGTCTGAACGTCAGAACCCAGCTGGTGGAGTACCTAGTGACCTAGTGGTGTCCTCACTTTAGTTTTCAACATTCCGCTCGGCGTCGGGCGATCAGGGTGGGGTGACGGAAGGATGTGACGGCACCAGTGTTCCAGTCAACATCTTGCATTCCAACTATTGAGAAAATCCCGGCCCTTGGGCAATTCTAATGTCAGTTCCATCACCATAGCAAGTGTGTATCAAGTGAGGCCCAGAAGCCAAATTCTTCACGCACCCATCCGGAACAGCTAAGCAGCCCTACAAGCTGAAACGGCCCAACGCAAAATCCACACACTGAACAAGCTAAGACCCCTGCTTGAACCCCAACTAGCAAGCTCCAAAAGCTGCTACATTTTCTGTTTTTGTATATACAGAAAGAGAGAGCGAGAGAGAGAGAGAGAGAGAGAGAGAGAGTGAGTGAGTGAGAGAGAGAGAGAGAGAGAGTCTCATGACTACTTCGATTCTTACTACAACCTCTCGCCTAGGCAACGCTCCTCGCTGGTGACTGAGAAGGCATGGCTTTTCAGGGACAGCCATGCCTTTCGGTTTGGAGTTTCCCGGAGCTATTTGTTTGCCGGGGCTGCATGGGCGGATCTCTGATTGAGGGGGGCAGGAAGTGATCCAGTTTGGATTTTCGATGCTAGTAGTTGTTGGAGGTCCATGATAGAGGAATCATGCCGACATTAAGCTAAGAGTTATTGCTGGCGCTCGTCGTTTAAACAATCAAAGTAGTGAACTTTTGACATCGAAACTTGAACGGGAAGCGCTCTTGCAGGGTTCCGCCTGCCCCATTTTTAAGTCCGAAACACCTTCCAGCAAGCACAGAACTATGCGAGAACGTCTCGCTGATGCCTCCGATCACACGAGTAAACCAAGGGCCGTGCTTATATTCCCGAAAACGCCGAACAAGGATGCTTCAACGGTTGTCTAGAACACAAACCTCGGGGAGCTACCCTGGGCTGATACTTGACCCATACATAATCTTTACTCCGGAGTGTTGATTCGCCGGTCGTGGTGCATGTTGCCAACAAAAAGATGCCTGAACACAAAGAAAACTCGTCCAACCGCTCTGCCGACTCACGACATCCTGTTGCAGGACAAGACATCTTCTGTAATCGTCTTCCTTGCCGCATCCTCCACCCCAGACTCCTGCCGTGAATCCCTGCCTGATCGATCCGATCCCACTGGTCGAGGATATCCTTACGCTCTTGGATCACCGGCTCCAGACCTGCGGAGGGGCTAGAAACCGTTTTGCTTGTACAGTAGTGGAGCTACCAGGAACTGCGGCTGCTCGAAAGAAGGAGTTCATGTGGAGGATCTGGAAGCAATCAGACCTCCAAGCCTGCAAGATGACACTTCTCAGTCGCGTTGTACCGCATACACCGCACAAATGCAAGTGACTGCACAACCACGACGACTCCAGCAGGGTTTACGGAACACGAGCACGGAACGCGGGACCCCAAATCGAAAAGCTTGCCCGGCCTCCACCCCCGGCCTTCAGATGCTCATGAGACCTTTGAAACTCGGCGATCGCGGATGTGAGCTCGACCTCCAGCTTTGGGGGACCAGCTTCTGGCTTGGGTGGTTGGTTGGGTGGTTGGCTGGCTGGTTGGCTGTTGATTGTTTGCTTGCTTGTTTGCCGGTTAGTTTGTTTGTTTGCTTGTTTGTTTGNNTGTTTGTTTGTTGGCTTGTTTGTGTGTGTTTTTGTATGTTTGTTTGCTTCAGTGTGAGAGATGCATGCGTGGCTGCTTTAGACTCTTCGAAGCAGATCTTGCGGCGCTTGACTGCGAATGCAGTCACCGCATGCGTGAAGCTTCCATCCGGTCCAGCACATTCGGTGCTGCTACCTATTGGCCAAACGGGGTACAATTGATTGCAGCGAAGGCAACCAGTTCACGAAAAGATCGTAGACCCAGACCAGCGATCTGGTAGTGATTTGTGATGATGGCGTGATTTGCTCAAGATGAGCTCTTCGGTTAATTTGGCGAGAACACTACAAAGCGGGAGATTGAAGCTGGCCTCGGTCTTCCTGAAGCCATAGAGGTGCATCAG